AAGTCACGTGACCCGAGAACCGTCACCTAGTTTGTCAATTCTTCGCCACATGTGAAAGTAGCAAAGATGGATAACAATACAAATAATACTAAATATTAATAGGAAGACATTTGAAATTAAGCTAGAATTGTCAATAAAGGCTAACACAGATAAATATAAAATGTATTCAAAAAATTTGAAACAGCTTGAAAAAACTGATGTATATAAATTTATATATATGTTAGGAGATTTTCTTGACCATATATAGCAGTGTTTCCCAAACTATTTTTCTGGGGACCCATATTTTAAAAGTCACAAATCTTAGCGACCCAAATCAATAGACATTATTGGTAAACTCCTGGGAAACATGATGCAAAATGACCGCCACCCAAAAATCTATCGTGACCACAAATCTTAGCGACCCAAATCAATAGACATTATTGGTAAACTCCTGGGAAACATGATGCGAAATGACCACCCAAAAAAACTCTTGTGACCCACCTGAGGGTCGCAACCCAGTCTTTGGGAAACAATGACATATATTCTCTTTAAGAAATCCTAGACACATATTTCATTGTTGCAATAAATTCTATTAAAATTGAAATATGAAAAAAATCTATTAGACTAAAAATAAATAAATAAATAAAAACAACTCAGAGCCAGATCATCAGAGCCTCTGTTTAGGCTCACTCCTCAGTCCAGTGGACAAAGATTGCATCTCTCCTCAGAATCAGTGTCAGAGCTGCGGCCTAATCAGCGAGGAGAGGTGCAGCCTACAAATCAGGCTCCTTTCTTCACTGATAACGTCCCTGTGGAGTCTGTGGTGACGGTCCACGTCAGGAGATTAGCTCAGCACAGCAGGACTGAACCACCTGTACTGAGACGCCAACCATCGACCCCTTCGTGCATTCTGGTGTTAGTTTTTTATTTTGATCTGTTCTGTGATCTTCAGATGTGGACCACACCTCCCACAGACCAATTAACGACGGTTATTACACCAGAACCTGGGTGTTAGGTTGTGTTTTTGACTCTCTAATATTTACACAACAGAGTCCAGATCAATATGACTGGGCATTAGAGAATCAAACAAAAGATTGTGCTGCAGAGACCCCTGCTGGTGCAGATCCTCATGACCTTATTACAGCGACAGCAAACAGCAATCATTTGCCAAAGCTTATATTTAAAGATGTTTTTTTGTTCATTTTAAGAATGCAAAGAAAACTCATCTCTAATTAGTCACAGCGCTCCAGGCTCAATTTAACCAGAACAAAAACGGCTCTGTTTTTAAATTATGGTTGAAACAGCTGCAAAAAGTGATGAAATACAAGGGAAGTTTTCTTCAAGGTCAAATTTTCTTTTCCTTTCAATTGGATATGAGAACCATAGACTTTATCAGTGGTTCACACTCACAGATCTGTATGAAATTTAGTCCAGTTCTGCCTCTGTTCCAGGAGTATCTTCCTGGTTTCAGGTCTAAAATGTATTTATATTTAACACTGATAAACACTTTTTTTGCTCCAAAATAATAATAAAAATAACAATAATAATAAAAGCGCTAGTGAATTAGAAGGCCAATCTTAGAGGTTGTACTACATTTTTATTTGGAAAAAGACCAACTTTACTCTTACGACTCAAATGAAACCCCAGATTCATTTGTCCGTGGCTGAAACCGTGTCAGAACAGAAGTTGAATTCTGCCGGAGTGCAACTCACATTTACTTTGTTCCGTTTGCAAACAGAGAGGCGGCAGACGTGCAGCCTATAGATTGGGATTTCAGATTCTGATTTAATGAGCTTTGACTCAGGGAGCAGCCTCTGAGGTGGCTGCTCCTACACACTGCAGAGCTCATTGTGGATGAATTAATTAAGTTGGACGTTCACTTGGCATCATCTGTGTGTGCCATACACTGATGCATAATGTATTATTATTATTATTATTATTATTTTAAGGGCCTGAGCGAATCAAGGTGGATCGTCTGGATGCATCTCAGCGACAGTTTATATAATTTGTCTACGGCGCCCCCCACCTGTGTACTGTTGACGTCTGTTTTTATTCCTAACATTTACTGCTTCAAATGCTAACTTCAAACTAGATCTCAATCTTTCTAATTCAGTTTAGGAACCACCTAACTGTCCCCACAAAGACAGCGTCCCCACGACAACAGTGTTCCTTTAATAACTTTTGATTTCCATAACAATGTTAGCTCTGCCAGGACTTCACCTCCATCTTGTGTCTCTATTATATAAAATAATGTTCACTTCAGGTTCCATTCACTCCACCAAAGACAGTTGCTTTATAGTTCGTTTACATTGGCTCTGATTGGACGCGGTTACATCACGAAGAGACCTCACACACGTTCACGTGTTTGGCCTTTACTCACGAAAGGCCAAACATCACATATACTAATTCCAGCCTCTTAAAGAAACGTTTTTTATTTCTTTATATGGATTTGAAAAATCCGCTGAGCTAAGAATGCTCTTACGATACTTGCTGTAAAACTGCAGCGTGAGAGCGTTTGATTTGAGAGCAGTTTCAGAAGGAAAAGCTTTCAAAGTGCATGACTCTGCATGAAAGTACTTCACCAAAGTGCTCTCTTTGTATGTGTGTGAATGGATTACATAGGTGGGCTGTACTACAATGGGCTACAGGTTTGTACGTTCACTCATTCGATGGTTAAGTGTAGCACGTAAAATAAGAATGAACAATAAAAAAACACTAAAATCAGTTAAAGATATAAATTTGGAGAAGCTAGAAGGGAAGAGGTTACACTTCAAAATGTTAAACTAGCTCAATTTCATCCAAAAATGCTAAACAGTTGTGAATTAAAACAATATATCTTAAGAATGTCAGATACAGTAAAGTAACATGCATTCCTAAAAAAAATAGCTAAGAATTAGCCTTAAGCAAAAACTAGTGTACAGAAGAATAAGAGTAAATGTTAGCCTACGTGTATCGAAAGGTTATCTAGAAAGATATATATATTACACATATAATATTATATATATACATTTCAGCAAATTTAACCAAAGAAAAACCAAGAAAAGCCAAAGGTTCGACCAAACTTTAACAGAGCAGTGGCCAAATAATTAGTTAGAGTAGGAAATTATCAAAAGAATGTGCAGTGTTATTAAAGGTATTATCTCCGTACGAATCACTACCTAAGTGACCAACACCGCGATGCCTTCAGTGCCCAGATCTCCTGCTTTAAAGATGATGAAAAGTGAAGCAGAGATAAAAGAAGATTAAAGGACGGTTCCTAATCTGCTCGATGTTATCCCAAGGTTTTATAAAGCAATTAAGAGAGAGTGATGTGTTTTCACGTGTCCTCTTCTCCCAAATGTGCTAAAAAATACCTTTAATAAAATACCACATAAATTATGTATCAGGAAACCAGGCCTGCGGGCAGAACGAGACAGCTCCCTGCTTTACAGGACCAAGACTTAGGGACCGTCTGACAATACCAAGATGTGAAGCCTTGGATGTTTGGTTTAAGCGTTGAGATGATAACATGGAAATATTACATTATGTAGTGCCTTGTTTGGCCTCTTGGTGGTGCTGAGACAATGTGACTAGTAGGTCAAAATGATGGCACTGTCTAGTAATTTTTTTTAATTGTATTTTTTTTATTATTACACACAGACAGTGCCTGATCTTTTCATGACAGTGGATCAGTATCATAAACGCTCCATTAGCATCTATTTGATTCCATTGAATCGGGTCGATTTGACCGCGGTGCCGTGAACCGTAACATGTTATAGAATTCCTGTGACGCCCGTGGCGTTAGCCGTGCTGCAGGTGATAAAGCTTCACCTCTGCATCGTAAATTTCCGCCGCTTGTTTATTGTGTCTTATCTCACGGCGTGCATCATTAATTTAAGAACCTTTTCTAATAAATGTGAAATGAAAGACTCTGGAGCTGGTAATGTCCCCACATCGCACTTACGGTACGAGAAGAGACCGCTGCTGGAACCGAGTCTGTGTTTTTGTGAAGTTCTTATACAGGGAGTGAAACTACTGAGCTCTGCTCTGCTCTGGTCGCCCCCTCATCTTTCACCCATGACAGAAATGACATGATTCAGTGGTCCTGCAGAAGAGCTGATGGACAGCCTGCTCCGAAATGTTAATAAACACAGTCTTTTATATGTCAGCCTCTTGGTTCTTCTTTTTTTTTTCTTCTTTTTTTTTCTTCTTTTTTTTAACTGACCCGCCTGCGACAAATACAGCTTTAACCTTGTCTCTTGTGTCACCTCCAGCGCTCCCTGCTGAGGTTATGGCTGAACTGACATCTGCATTTCAATTCCAGGCCAAACTCAACCCCCAACTCTAGGTCTTCCAGCAGAGAGAAGACATTTGTGAAAATTGCTCAAATTCCAATTCTCTCTCTCTCTCACACACACACAGACACACAGACAAACACAGTTGTTGTCCTTGTCACTCCTGATCTCAAATACAGCAATGAAAGCAAATAAAAGTGCGGTTAATTATTTTTTTCAGTGGTACACTAGACCTTTGAACTGTAAAATCGCTCGTTCTCAAGGAGACGCTGCAGCGTCCAAGTCCACGGGGAAAAACAACATGATGGGCCACCAGACAAATGGTCCCCGGAACTGTTTGTTTTCTGCATATAGTAGATGTACAGAGACACAAACGGTACATAGAGAACACATATGGGAAAATGTCTGGAATTGAACTCTCAACCCTCTGGGTGTAAGACCTACTTAACTACAGCTCGTTATTTAAGTTTTATTTATTTTTATTATTTGTAGATGGAGAAACAACAAAAAAGTCTCCTCTGAGTTAAAGACATTCATGAAACTGGAGGTTAGCTAAACTAAACTAGCTACGGTGCACGTTTGCTGCAGAGAGGCTAGGTTTGATCCGGTACAAGTTCCTGGTTCGTTTTGGACCAATGTGAAACGAAAATGATGTGACAGTCAGCCTGGAAACAGCTAAATGTTAGAGACGCTCCACATTGACCTTGTTGATATCCGATTCTCCGATACTTTCCTGCACTTAATTTCCAATTCCGATACCAACCAACATTGCTAAAGGCAGATTTTATTTCCCAGACCAATTAAAGGTCACATTCCTCTACATACCATAAATAAATAAACATCGTCTTTGAAAAACAAGTAAAGGTCTGCAGCCGTTCTACGTGGTACAGATCCCACTTCAGGTTGGAGGTCAAGGGCAGAGAAAAGGAAACAAAGTTGCCAACTCATTTCAGACAGCCTCGGTCGTTAACCCTTTACTGGAACAACCTTGTGACTGATGAATAAAGGTTTCACTGCATTACTGAATGACTAACTTCTTGGCTTTTATTGCGTTTCTAACCGAGGAGCCAACGTGCCTCCAGATCAGTTCTGTGTATAAACATCCCCAGTGTTCCACTCTTTTATCTCCGACTCCAGTATTATTCCTGATTCTGTACAGAAGCTGCGTCCAATCAGTGACTGATGTGCAGCCGGAGACTCTGCGTTTGCCTTTTCTCCGACACATCAAGTGACAGATTTGTTCTGAATATTGTCTTTTATTATCACCGTGACCTTTCATTTTGATGGATGCTCTTAAACGGTGAAAGGAGACGTCGGCTGCTGCTGTGTGTGGGAGCCGACTAAAAAAAAAAAATATCCTTTTTTTCTTTTCTCCTCAGGTGAAAGAAGTTTTAATGAAAAGCGAAAATTGAAAAAAAAAAAAAGTACTTCATCACAGAGTAGTAATTAATGATCCCTCTCCAGAAACTCTTCACAAATCTTCTTTATACTGCCTGAACACAGGCTGGTATTTCATCACGTTGAATAAAACGAGTGTTTCTTCAGGAGGACTGTTATATTACATTGAAGGAGACGGAACTAAGACTCAGTGGAGATTCCTCTAGAATGTCATCAAATAAATTGTGAAATATCAGTTCAATATACACTTCCTAAAAATGTATTATTATTAGCTTTTAGCACCTTTGCATCTTGACTCTGATTGGACAAATGCTGCAACAAACCAGTGGCCGAGTGTAGAAGCCTGGCTCTCCTCATAATAATTGGACGTCATAGTCATAGTCTGTGGCGTAGACAACGTAGGCGTTGTGCCTCATCTGAGTCAAAGCTTCTGGGATGTGGAAACTATTCAAATACAACTTGATTAGAAGATTCGAATCATTAGCCCAGTGTTAATCAGCTTTAAATCCTAGTCTAACTTGGAGTGTGATGGTGACCTCTAGTGACAGAACTGCAGCTCTTTAACGTCACCATTTAGTTAATTGCTTTATTGTATAAATACTATTTTTATTTTTGTCGATTACTCGATTACTTTTACTCTATTCGCTTATTTATTTTACCCATGTTTTCTTTTACTACCTTTAAAAAGACTTTTGTTAAATGTATGTATTTTGTTAATGTAAACCAAAGGTTTATGACGCTGTGACAGAAAGGGAGCAACCTGTTAGGAGACACTGCCATCTAGAGGAAGGCGCATCTAAGTACCAATAATCGAAGTCTGCAAAACCTGAATACTGTGTTTATAGAGAACTGTTTCTAAAATAACCACATGCATAACTGTTTCACATCACCAGGGGGCGCGTTTAGATGTTACCGAGACCCTTAAAATGCTTTGACAGGAAACAGAATATTAACGTTACGTTAACGTTAACGGACACCATAATTCAGGCGACAATGATCAAAAACGAAAAGCTAGGAAAATGAAAGACTTCATATTTTTTCTTTGTTGTAACGTCGGGGTTTAGTCACTGGAGGGCGCTGTGTCTCTGTAATAGACGTGGATTCCAGTCTTCTCCAGAAGTAATTAAAAATTTAAAACAAAAAAACATAATAAGACTTCATTTGATATCGATTGATTTTAACTTTGATTCCAGCATTAACAGATGTGGAGTTCTGGTCTTTACCTTAAACACTGAGCTAATGCAACAATAAAAATGTCTCTTCTGTAACGCTTAAAGGTCAAGTATCATAAAAACAATATCTCCTCACAGTAGGTGCATCGGCCTCGGTCTGTGGAAGTGATTTAATGGTCCTAAATACAGAAGCGTTAAAGGTCGATTCCTCGTCGTGAGTCATCGACAGTAGAATCAAAGAGTCTAAGGCTCTGAAAAAAATTATAAACAAAAACTGAGTTCATCAGGAGGAAACAAGTGTAGTTTTACACAAACCAGCTCAGAGCTGAGGTTATTATGTCTGACATTTAAGACCAGAGTGGAAATGCAAATAAAGAGAACCAGCGCTTCCAAGTAGAGACGTCAATTTGACTCTAATCAAAAAAAAAAAAAAAAAAAAAAGAAAAAAGAGAAGACGGAGAGCAGAGCGGCTGAAGAGGAGAGTCAAAAATGCAGATGAGAGTGAGTCTAAAATACTGCGAGTTGATTGACATTAATGTGGTTAAATTTGTGCATAAAGACCGATAAAATGAACAGACAAGACAAGATCATCTGTCTGAAACAGGATGCTGTGTCGGCACACAATTTTTTTTAAATGCCTTGAACAAAGTTTTTATATTTTTTTTACTTATCCTGCAACTGAGAGAAATCAAACCCCAAACCTTACAGGAAGGAAATCCCACCACAGCACCACCGTAGCCACAGCATTAAATCTCTCATTAAGGTTGACCAATCAACTTTGTGGTCACTTTTGAACCTTAAGCTACGTCTAATTCCTCATAGCATATTTAAAGCTAACGTTGAGCCACCTTTCTGCATTTTTGCTAACATTTAGCAACTCTGTAAGCTAACTTTGACTTGGGCAATTTCTGGATTTTATTTCAGCTCTGTCGAAGGACACTCGACACAGCGATTAGCATGCCCGCTTTGAAGCAGACGGCAAACAATCCAGGGTTCGATTCAGCTGCAATACTGCCACCTTGTGGGTCTACGATCCACTGGAAGAAAAAAATTAAAAAATCCCACCAGTATATATTTGTAAAACAATGTTAAATTCCTGCACGTTTCTCTCCTACATTGTAAAACAGAGTCCATGCTTCAAGGATTTGGCAAACGCCGCTCAGTGTTAGTTGTATTTTTACTTTGCCATATGTAGTATTTATAAGATTACTGTCAGACATTTGCCAGTTTGGCTGAAATTCACAGTTGCAGGAAAAACAGCGTTGGCTCCTGAAATGTAAATTAGCAGATTTTTATGTGTGTGTGTAAAGATACATAAGTGTGAGAATCTCTGATGCTGAGAATGTCCTTTAGTGTTTGTTCTGACTCTAAAGTATCTGCATTAAAGAGTGTGTAATGTAGAGAATACTTATAAAATACTTCATATATTCCAACTAATAAACCTAATATATGAGCGTGCTGTTTAAAGAGCTTCCATTAAAACCACAGCAGTTTATTTTTTTTATTTATTTTTTTAGTGCTGGCTAATAATCCACTTCCTGTAAAGTACGGACCAAGGCTTCACCATGAATATTCATCAACCACTTCTGACCAATGAGACGTCACGTTGATGAGGCTTTTCTAAAATTATCAAATTCACCGCTGACACTATTGTTCCTGGTTGAATTAGACAAATTAGCTATTGTGGCTATTTTTCAGTTAGATTTAAACATTAAAGCTGTCTTTTTAGCTCTGTTCTGTTCTCTGTTGGAATTTTTTTTATTTTTTTACTTTTTTTTATTTTTATTTTTTGGCTAACACTATTTCACTTTTTACTTTTATTTTTGGCTAACACTATTTCACTTTTTACATGTTTACTTCCTGTCATTTTCGTAATTTGCCAACCAGCTGATATCTTACTGCTTAGGTTACGTTGATTAGTTAGCTGTTAGCTGTTTCTGCTACATGTTAGCTCATTTTTGTTTACTGTTTTGCATTATTTTTCAGCTATTTCGCAAATTTCCCGTAACGTTTGCCTACTGAACTTGACTTATACTTAACTTATGGTTAGTTTTTTTTTTTCTAACATTCTGACAAGGTTAGCATTTTTGGTTGGTCTTTTAGCTACTTGTTGTAGTAGCAGTAATGTATTCATTTAGCCGTTAGCACTGTCATTTTGGCACTCATTTTTACTAATTCTATGAACATTTTATATAAATATATACAGTTAAATTAGTTAGTGATGACAATGATTATTCTTGACTGTCCTTTAACTAAGACATCACCTTGATTAACTCTTTTCTAATGGGCTGGATCACAGCGAATGCCAGGATGTGATTGGATTAGAGCGACTTTGGGAAGTACTTGGAGACATCACAAAGGAAGATGCACAGACGGCTAAAGGCATAATTGACAAGGATGAAGATGGATGAATGGATGGATGCAGGGACGGGTGAACGACACAGGAGACTCCCCGGGCTCTTCCTGCCCAGAGTGGAGCAGTAGTGCCTACAGCTGTGCCTTCACCATCGCAGCAAGGCCAGATGTAATTAGGTTCAAACCTAAGAGCTATTTTAGAGAGAAAAAAAAAAAATCACTCCAGCACGAAGAGTTTTATTGTGTGCGTTCTGTTTTGTTTCAGGCTAAATGGAACTGGCACCGTTTTTAGAGGTAATTCACGACAGCCCTCTCTAATTTAGTTGGGCACAAGATGGAGGTAAAAGACGGAGATAAACTTAAAAACTTTAGTTTAGGAGACCTCTGCCAGACTTCAACGGATTCTCAGAAGCATTTATAGGAGCACGTAGTCTTTTTATGCTAACCTTTAGCCATATCTGGGCTAAATTGAAGCATTTAAGGGGCGCTAATCTTGACTGTTTTGTTCTTCTAGCATATAGCATTAGCATCACATTAGCAATCGCATCATGTATGTGCAGCCAATGTGATTTTGAATTCGAGTTTTGAAGTAAAAGAGAAAAGAAAAGATCCAAACCCCTGTGCTCTGCAACAAGTGTTCCTAATCTACTGTTCCGTGAATGCACTTCTACAATCAGGAGAACCAGACCCAGGGGGCTTCTTTTTGGGTTATTAGAACCAAATGGCCTTCCACTGGACTCAGTACCTGCAGCTCACCAATGCATTCATCAGAAGCTCATTTGTATTCAGGAGCAGCAGGGCATTAGCTAATGTCAAAAATCAGCCCTGTTCAGATTCCAAATGTCTGGAGGCCAAGCTCATTATGGTTTAAGAAGCCCTCTGGGCCCTGCTAAAGTTCTACAGTACAACGCTCCACTGCGTACATGTGGTAAAGCAAATTATGCAAATCCTCCCAGTTCCTAATCAACGCCGCGTCCCTCTGAGATCAGGAGAAGTCGGTATCAATCATCGCAGACGGCTACGGCGGCGTCTGGAGACGGAGGAATCTTCACGGCCGTACGAAGGAACCGCTTGATTTCTGGCTTCCTTCATGTCGTCCTCTCATGTTGTCACTGCAGAAGTGGCAGGAACACAGCTGCACGACGTGGTCACAGAAGAGCACACTCGTGAAAGAGGCGACAGACACACCTTCAGAAGCCCAGCTGACGCCTCCCGGGTCGGACTGGATTGACGCCGTCACTGGCTTTTTGGCAGATCGGCGGAAAGGAGTCCTCTGAGTGGATAATTGGCCCATTCACATGTAGATTTCAGCAGAATTTGTTGTATTTTTATGGTAATTCCACCGGATCATGTTCACACCGGCTCAAATCTGAGGTTCATTTGACGAACGCTGTGAATCTGAGCTCCGTCAGTGGATGGTGAGCTCGTGTTTCCTGCCTTTTTCTAACACGTTCCCCACAAAATCTGCTCAGCAGAAAAACTAGTAACCCCCCCCCCAAAAAAAAATCTGCTCAGCAGAAAAACTAGTAAATGAACGACGAACACCTGGCAGAGTTAGGTTTGTGAAGCTACTTCAAAGGATTTAGATTTTTTGTGAATTGATGTATTGGCAGAACGACACTCACTGAATATATAAGAATCCTCTGATACACAGACGACAAATGTTTTAGTTTCACCTCGGGCTTAAAATCCCATCATCAACTCCCAGCATATGTTTATGGAGGCTCAACCTGAGGTCAGCGGGGCCGGCCTTTGACAGAGCAGCAGTGGCTGAGACCAGGACAGTCGGTCAGTCTACGACTGACACAACAGTCAGATGGATTGTTCAGGACTGTAGACTGGTTAATATTGTTGAGGACAACGACTGAACTGAAGACAGACAGACAACAGTCGCACAAAAAAAAATTAATTTAAAAACACAAACGTCTATCTGCCTTCAGACAGACAAGAGTCGCACAAAAAAAAAAAAAAATTTTAAAACACAAACGTCTATCTGCCGATAATCACTGTCTCTTTGTTCCAACAATATCCCAGAAAAAAAGTTTTTGTCATGTTTAGAAATGTTAATTTATCTCAATCAAATTCTGTTTCATTACCGTCAGCTTACTCTTGATTAACACAGATTAAACCACAGCTACCCTGTGATTAATCAGATTAAAAATGTTAATTAACAGCCTTAATATAACATAGACAAATTCTCCAAATAATAACATTTAGATTTACAAACGTATTCTGGGCATTCTGGAATGATTAACGAAATACTCCAAATAATATTTAGATTTACAAATGTATTCTGGGCATTCTGGAATGATTAACAAATAGATTTTAATCATCAGTGATTAAGTGGTTACCTTCCTTGCCGTAAAGGAAAAAGGTCAACAGTTCGATCCCAGATGTTACTGATGTTCTTTGTGGAGTGTGGATTCTCTCCAGTGTCTGGGTGAGTTTTCACCAGGTCGTTTAATGTTCAAACACATGCAGGATCAGGTTAATAAAACAAGACAGCTGCCCTTATGTGATCTAACCAGCAGGAGGCACTGAAACACAGTCCTCTCACCTTATTGATTCTGTCATACTCATCGATTTGTTTACCTGCAGCAGACAGGTACTCTGTCTATCAGACGGGTATTAGATGCTACACAGAGACTTTCTTTTTTTGGGGGGGAAGTGTGAACTAAGCCGCTCTTGTACTCGTTATCGACACCTCAGTTTATAATCCATCACTGCTGCACTGCTCCGAGAAAAAGCTGCAGCGTGCTAAAGCAAATCCACCAGGAAAAAAGAAAAGAAAAACAACAACAAATATCTGCTTAAAGGTGTCAGAGGAAATTAGGATTTTCCAGCAGGTAAAAACAGATGAAGGTTAATGAAAGGTCAAACCCATGTGACCAATGGGAGCCGCGTACAGACAGTGTGGTGACGGTTCAGTCACGTATCCAGATGGACTGACACCTGACGGCTCTGTCTGTTCATGCTACACTAATTACTAATTACTCAAATTTTAGACTTCATTTTTTTTGTTGAGAAAATTAATTTCAACTATTATTAATGTCAGAGTGAACATATATGACTTTTTGTCTAACTAAATGTTTTATTTTTGCGCTCAGACCAATTAGCTTTGTAGCTAACATTTATCTATTTAAACCTTAGACCAAACTAGTTGTTTTCTCGGCTAATTCTTGGTCAAAAAATCATATATTTATCAAGCAACTGATTTTTAGCTATTTCCACTTTATTTGCAGTAATATTCCACTATTTCAGTCAATTTTATTTTGCTAAATCCTTGACATTTATTGAACATAGATCTGCCTCTCCGGAGGCACCAGGACACACGGAGAGCTATCGTAACTGCAACTTGAAATCCTTTTTTGTTTCAAGCCTTTTCCAAACCGAGCTAGTGTCAAACATCAAGAAACACAAGACGGTACCAAACACTGTAGAGAGGCAGGAGAAGAGTTTCCACCATTCATCAAAACTCCCAGCGGCAGCAGCAAAGTTGATGAATGTTTGACAACGGCGGCTGCTGTGCTCGGCTGCAGCATCCCTCCGAGTGTTAGATGATCACACACCAGGGACTTAAACACGGAGACTGCTGCTGTCCTTTAAAGCCCAGACTTTGACACTTGACGAGCGAGCACTCCCTCATTCTGTGATTCCCTCGCCAAATATAATCCCATCCAGAGTGACAAGCATCAGGGATGCAGACCATGCCTGGAACCACTGATGGGCTGGCGAGGTCACCTCTGAGCCCCAGGGCCTCAGAGGTGACCTGACTGTTAACGCTAGAATCTGAAACTTTAAATTTACTGACGGTACGACGAGCCATCTGCCCGATAAAGGTCTCCGACGCAAAATATTAAAGATGAACGGTTTGAATTCTATAGAACTTACAACGATGGGAAAAGATCATTGAGCTAGGACAGTGAAGGCATCACTGCATTTATTTTAACTGCAGTAAAACCCGATAAAAATTACACAAATTAGATGTCTGAAGTATGAGAAATGACTACAACACCACTATTTAGTATCTACAGATATCAATGGAAGCCATCTTGATGGCTAAATGCTAAAGCTAAAAGTAAACAAATTAACTTGGGAAAAATAAATACAGATGCATGTTGAAAGCAGTTAGCCAAATATATTTGATTTAGTTAAACGTTTGTAAAAGTAAGCAACGTTTCCCAAACGTTAGAACACAAAGGCGGTATTATTTCAGAAAAGGTCAAAGGTTAGCATAACTTATGGTTAAAAATGAGCTAAGAGACAGTCCACAGGTAGCTGAAAGTTAGATGACCATTCAGAATCATGGAACCAAAGTCAAAGAGACATCACTGCCCCCCCGACCCTCACCCCCATCTCCCGCTGATCACATACAGTTTATTCATCCTTCAAGTATCAGCTTCATTCACACCTGATCAATAATACAAGAGAAAAACCTCAGGAAGGGGAGCAGAGCAGGAGCCAAAAGTGGAGAAATCTGCACAACTGTTCAGGATGAAGGAAAGGGAGATAAACTGGGAGCCGTAATGGAGAATTCCCCCTGGGAAAGGACCGGCCTGGAAGCCAAACCGCCTCCGCAGATTGGATTAATATTGCATGGAGGTTTATGCAGGACGGCCTTTCTGTGATTGCCACGCTCACTCCTTCAAACGGTAAACTTATACTGGAGGAGGTGAGGAAAACAAAGCCCTGCTCCATCCGTCAGATCATCGTTGACCGAGAGGAAAAAAAAAAAAAAAGACGAAGACTTCAGGACAGAGAGAAAGGGTCCGGTGACAGAGGGCATTTATCCATGATTTATCTGGCTTTTAGAGCAGAGTGTGAAAGATGTTTTTAAGGATGTTTGTGATAATAGGAGCTGAAAATAACTCAGTTTATCTGTCAGCAGGCTTTTGGTATAAATAACAGGTTTTATCCAACATCTCTGACACTTTCTGAATCCAAGCAGTTAAATCTGCACAGAGACAAAGATTTCCTTCTCTGTGATTCAACATCTTTTTTGAAAAAAACAAAAAACAAACGTATTTAAATTACACATTAAACAATGCCATCATTTAGCAGAAGCTGAAGAAGCTACCATGTTAGCTAACTTGAATATATATATACATATATATAAACTTATCCATATATATAAACATATATACACATACATATATACATATACATATATACATATATATATACATATATAGACACATATATATATTGCTAATTTTTCTTTGACCTTATGTGCGCTAACTGCTAGCCTATGCTAATTTTTCTTTGATTTATAGGTCAAAGACCTTATGTGCGCTAACTGCTAGCCTAGCTTACTCTGGCTATTCAAGGACACACTTCCACTCACCCTAAATGACTCTGACGGTTCCCTTTTTAGAAGCATCAGAAAATAACGTTTAGCTTTCAGTTCAACTCATTTGGAGTTACGTCTAGTGCCAACGATTTTGCCATTATTATTTTTAAATTAAATCTTTAGACGAATATCACTTTTCATCAGAAAGACTTCCCGCTCTCATTACTCACTTTCACGCCGCTATCTGATTTTTCTGTTGTTTTGTCTAATGATTAAAAGCAGCAATTACACATTTTATCTGTGAGAAAATGAAAAGGCTCCAGTCTCGTATTAATTGCCAGTGAAAACTGGGTTTGAATTAATTTGTCAAGTTTCAGCCACAGGAAAAAGACGCCAACGGTTTCATTTGAGAGGAAGAAATTAGAGTTAAATTAGATTTTTTTTTTTTATATAGCGGAATATGGGTTGAGAACGTTTTTAATTCATTTTTTTAAATCAAAAGTTTCGTGTTTGAAACTGTTCAGTTCACATAAGGAGACACTGTTCAAACTCTGTTTGAAAGTGTTCACATAAGGAGACACTGTTCAAACTTTATTTTACCCCTGTAAATTATATTTCATTTTGGATTTCCTTGGACGAACTGAGCACAAACTCAGGTTACCTTCAGGATATCTCTGGACTAACTTTAACTTTAAGTTTCTTAGATTTTGTCGGCTAACGTTGGTTTTTCTTTAAGTACTTTAACTATGTTAGTTTTAGCCACCTATTAATTATGTCTTTTCTTCCTACACCGTCTCCACCATGAACTGACGCTTTCACTTTTCTATAATAATCAGACACCGCAGCACCGTTAAGAGCTGAATAATTAACCTGCAGCTGAAAACACTGAAAGCTAGTGATTTGGGGAGTCATTAAAGATTGATCATCTATTGATGTTTCTGAGTGAAGAGAAGAAACATCTGGCAGAGAACCCTGGATGGATCAGTCCAACAAAGGCAGAACAAAAGCAGCAGAAAAGGTCGGCTTTTTCTAGCAGACATCCAAACACAAATAATGCGAAGTATGAATGGAGATTTTAAGATGTGCTTTTAGGCTCAAATTGTCAACAGGTAAATGCAGAAATAATTGAAAATATATGAATGGTAAGCCAGACTAAGATGACAGGAAAATGAAACAAAAATTAGATTTTAAGAAAAATAACTTAAAATGTATTTTCCTCACAGGAACTTAGGGCTAAATGAGAAAAGCTAGCCAGAAAAACAACCTTAAAATTAGCTATGTCAGTGAGTGAGCAAAATCATTTCTGAAAACAGACAAAAAAAAAATTCAACAATTTAGCTCACAGAAAAGATGCAGGAGGTTAGCATAGCAATAATTAGCAGTGCTCCAAAGTAATCCATCTCAGAAACCTGGTTTGTTTTAGGCCAAATATGAAAGTAGAAATACGGTTTTATAAAAAAAAAAAACTGACCCATTAACCCTCACAGCTGAAACATGCTGTTAAACAGTTAGCGCTTGTGCAGATTCTCGAGATGTAATTATATTCCTCAAAGTCCCATCATTTACTTTACACCTATTCTTTGCAGCCAGTCTGTAATTACTGCTGCACCCGTGTCCTTTCACGTTTTAATCACTCTGCCATATTCAGCTGCTGGATATATATATATAATTTAAAAAACAGGAGCAGGAATTTAGCCCAAATCCACGATGTATGAGGGCTGCTATTGGACGGAATAGAAACAAAATATATATATATATATATGAGAGAGAGAGCACTGAAATGTTCTCATTTGCAATGTAGATGTAGATGTAGATTTTTGGAGCAAAAACAAAGGGATTAATGGAAAAATCATGGAAAATCTGAGCCGATGAATAAAACATGAAAGGCCAGGAAAGTTGGCCAAACAAATGTTGAATGGATCGAGAAAAAGAAAGAGAGAAGTTCATCTCTTGGATTAACGGGCAGAAAATTCAAGTACAAACAGGTTAAACTCCAGGGAGTCTGTGTATTTATCTGACGTCATGCTTTATTTTTCCCATCTTAAAAGTGAAACCAACAACAACAGTGGGGGGTTGAGGGGGGATGTGTATTTATGGCGCTGATGATGGCGATGCTGCTGCTGCTGGGTTCAGGTCCCTGAGTCCCTGCTCCCACTCCTGATCAGTGCAGTGAAGTTTGTCACTGAGACGGTCGTCCAGGTGACAACCAGGCAAACAAACCCTCGGAAAAGCCACAGGTCTAGTCTCTAGTCTCCAGGCGCCCCCCCCCCTCC